GATGAGGCCCACGTTGGTGGCTCCAGGGCTCTTTCCTGGGCTCTTTTTTTTGAAACTCCACAAACCAAGCTGAGACCCCCATCGAGAGAAAATCAGACCTTCTATCCACATTCTACTCCTATGCAAACATTCAATGCCCCTCCCCAAAATACACAGGATCTGCAAAGGATGAAGAAGTGTGGATTATAGTGCTTTCAAAAACTCAGGTAAGCTCGGGCTTTGGGGTCTTCTCCGCTCCTTTCGGAGGCCACAAGTGCTCTTCCAGCAAGTCTCAAGTCCCCTCTGCTTTGGACCATCTCACAAACACCCACACCCAGGCTTCTCCTTCTCCCAGCCCTGCTGTTGCCAACTGTTCCCTGCTTCAGTCCTCGGGATCTCGGGAAGTACAGACTGGAGCCGTTACCCACCGGAACCAAGCATGGTGAGAAATGCAGGGTAATCACGTGATCAAGGAAATCACAAAGTGTAACCCCCTTTGGAATGGACAGGGACATTGGAAATGACCATCTGGGAATCACCTCTTGTCTGGCTACCCTGCTCTTATACCCTTGGTGCTACTGAAGAGCGGTGGTGACAGGCAAGTAGCCAGAGAAGGGAGCGGGTCAAGGGAGCATTCAGAAGGTGAGCTTTTGCATTAAATATGGAGGAAACACTAGCGGCACAAATATGCATATACACACCCTCCACCGCCACCATCAGAAAGGAGAGGTAGACCCTCCCCCATTTCTACCACCCCCCCTTCCCCAGCTCCATCCTGGTACAACACCTTTCCCTCCGCAGAGCAGATCTAGCGGCCTTTCGAACCTGATTTTCTCCCCAGCTCAAACTTGGTGGAATCCAGACCATGCTATGCCCAAGATGCAGTCCCTGCAGGACCCTCTAAGCCCAGGAGGCAGAGACTAGGTGGACACCACATGAAGAAAGATCTGGAGAAAGATCCCAGAGTCCCAGGGGACCAATGTGCCCCTTGGGGACACCTTCTGAAGTCATCCCTGGCATTGCCAGGGAGAACTACTCAAAGGTTTTTCTATATCTTCAGATCAAATATGTATTCTTGTGACAAAATATCTTCTACCAAATCAGGCCTTTTTTTTTTTACATCTTTATTGGAGTATAATTGCTTTACAATGGTGTGTTAGTTTCTGCTTTATAACAAAGTGAATCAGTTATACATATACATATGTTCCCATATCTCTTCCCTCTGCGTCTCCCTCCCTCCCACCCTCCCTATCCCACCCCTCCAGGCGGTCACAAAGCACCGAGCTGATCTCCCTGTGCTATCCCTTTTTATAAATCCCAAATAACATAAGGTGAGAGAAGTAAGAGTTTTTCCTATAAAACAAGTGAAAGAATGTTGTCCACCAGAAACCCCTCTCTCCATCTTATCACATCCAGGGGGACACCCTTTGCATCTGAGGGGACTCTGAACAGACTTCCCTGGTGGGACTTCTTGAGGACTGTCAATTCAAGAATATGCCGGAGACAGAGGTCCCCAATCAACTGTCTCTGTCCAGGCCATCAGGGCACATGTCCTCCCACCAGAAGTCTGAGTTTTAATTCTGGATCCCCACATAAGTGGCATGTGTGAATCAGATATACTCCCTCTGCCACTACAACAGGAGGAGTTTGCAGTGGGTGCCTGACTATACTTAGAGTTGTTATGAATCAGGGACTTCCAAGTGCCTCGAGCTTTTCCTCTTTCTAAACGGGAGTGCGGGAATTCCCTGGCTATCCAGTGGTTAGGACTCAGCACTTTCACTGTCGTGGGTCCGGATTCAATCCCTGGTCAGGGAACTAAGATCCCACAAGCCATGTGGCGCAGCCAAAATAAAAGTAAAAATTAAAAAAATAAATGAGAGTGCAGACTATGGCTATCCTATCCCATCTCACCATTGCGTGATAGGTGTGGTGGACATAGATAATTTCCATTTAACTCACAGGACTTCAGACTGAGGTAGACCATCATGGGGGAGCTGCAACAAAAGAACCCTATCCCACGAGCCTCACGTGTAACTGGATTGAATCCAAATAGCAAGATCCTCAAATTCAAGCTGGTATAATAATGGGGAGAAATCTGGGGGGATCTCTGGAAGGGTGAGCATATGTTGTTTGTGGGAGGGACATGAATTGTTGTGACCAGAGAGTGCACTGTGGGATCTAGTCTCCACACGTGGCCCCATCAATTCCTTCCCTCTCTGCACATCACGAGGAGGAGCCTGTTTCCTCTCCCCTTGAATCTGAGCCGGCCCTGTGACTGCCCTGCCCAATAGAATATGGTGGAAGTGAACGTCTGAGCTCAGGCCTAAGGAGGACTGGCTGCTTCTGCTTCCCACCTTCCTTCTTCTTGGAACCCAGCCACCAGGCTGTGAGGAAGCCCAAGCAGCTACATGAGAAAGGCTCATATGGAGGACAACCAAGTCTCTGGATGCCAACTGTCAATGTATTTTCTCTCAGCTCCGGACTCACCCGTCATTGCCGGCTCTGTGAACGTTTAGAGGGGCCCTTTCAATATTTTCCTTTGTTCGCTGGCACAATATTAAGCTTTGTCAGTAGAGGACGCTGGAGAGATATTGCAGGAGGAAGGGGCTTTCCTTCCTTGTTCCAGGTTCCTCCTGGCACATTCTGGCTGCACCCACAGTTTCTCCAGAACTGCTCCTGCCGTGCAGTGGCTTCACTGCCGCAGTGCACAGTAGTCAGCAGTATCCTGTGGCCAGCAGCTTCCAATATCCTTCTCAGGTGGTTTTGAGGTGGAGACATGTCTTCTTGAACAGGTTTCCCTAGCTTTCCCTGGATCTGAGGTCCAGATCTTGGCCACAGGGGGTCCACTTCCTTGGGTGCACTCTCTCAGGCCTAGGGGTAGGGGCTGCTCCTTATATCTGCAGCTCCTGTATGCTTTATTTTTTCTTAATAAATTTATTTATTTTATTTATTTATTTTTGGCTGCATTGGGCCTTTGTTGCTGCATGCGGGCTTTCTCTAGTTGTGGCGAGTGGGGGCTACTCTTCGTTGCAGTGCGCAGGCTTCTCATTGCCGTGGCTTCTGTTGTTGTGGAGCACGGGCTCTAGGCACGCGGGCTTCAGTAGTTGTGGCTCACGGGCTTAGTTGCTCCGCGGCATGTGGGATCTTGCCAGACCAGGGCTCGAACCTGTGTCCCCTGCAATGGCAGGCGGCTTCTTAACCACTGCGCCACCAGGGAAGTTCAGCAGCTCCTGTATGCTTTAGATTTTTTGCTTCTTACTAGCCAGGCTCTCATTACTCAATCCCCTGTTATAGTTAATGATTATTTATATTAAACTTCATCTGTTCAAATTATCGTCTCCTGATTAGGCCCTGACTGACACGTCCTGGCCAATAGCTCCAGCTGAACTCATAGCTGGTGGCTGGTACGAAGTCCAGCTCCATGGAATGAGGTCATTTTGGACCTTCCAGACATCCTAGCATCCCAAACAACATCACATAGAGTAGAAGAGCTGCCCAGTAAGCCCATCAAATCATGAGAAATAATAAAGCGTTATTGTTTCAAGCCTCTAAATTTTGGAGTGATTCGTTATGTGCAATAGATATCTGAAACCTCCCTACAACCCAGGAGGTATCATTATTCCATTTTACAGATGGAGAAGCTAAAGCTCAGTGAGGATCAATGACTTGCCCACAATTACAGAACTAGTAAGTGGCTGAACCAACATTCAAACATAGGTTTGTATTAACCAAACTCTTTTAAATACATAATCTCACTTAGGCGGCCAGAAGGGACCTTAGGAATAATGTCCAACATCCCTCATTCTATAGCCAAAGAAACTGAAGCTCAGAAGGTGGAAGCAATTTGCCCAAAGTCACCCACTTAAGAAATGGCAGAATCGGGACTCTGAACTAGAAGCCTGGTTCTCCTGACCCAAAGCTCTTCGTCTCCCTCACACTGTCGTCCCACATGCCTTCCATTTCCTCATGTACTTTCCCCCTCCAGGAATGTCCCCAGCAGGGTGGAGGGGACGATCACCCTGCTTGAGAAGCCCTAGGGCACATCTGGCCATGTCTAGGGACACCTTTGGTTGTCACAATTGGAGGTGAGGAGTACTACTGGCTTCTAGCGGGTAGAGGCCATTGCTACTGCTAAACACCCTACAATGCACAGGACGTTCACCCCCCAACAAAGAAGTCTCCAGCCCAAAATGTCAATAGTGTTGAAGTTGAGAAACCTTGGTCTATAGAAACCCATAACCACACAAGGCAGGGAGGGATTCCCTGCCTCCCTGGGTCTTCTCTTGTTCTTCCAAGCCTCAGGTTGCTCAAGGCCAGGTGGGCAGCTTCTACTGCAGTCATTTTCACCTACTGAAAAATAACTAAGTGCATGAGAGGTCCTGAAGAAATCTCTGGCAGGGAGCACCTATCACAGGAGGGCCCTGGCGTTTGCAAGACTCTGAGGCACCAGGTTGGATTAGTTACAATTAGTTTATTGGAAACAAAGAGTGAAATAAAGGCAAACAAACTTGCAGGCAGTTGACCCACCGGCTTTTATAGAAGCCTCCGCAGGCGTCCCTGGAAGGTGATGGTCTCCCCTCCAATGGGTCGCATCCCTCACAGAGTTACAGGAAAACCACCATCAGTGCTTTATCTCCATTCCATAGGTACAAGCACACTGGCAGTTTCCCCAGGATGCGCAGATGGGGAGATTCTGGGGCCTGTCCTGTTCCTCCAAGCTTAGATGAAGGGATCAGGCAAGACCAATGAATCCAGCAAAAAACAGAAGGCGGAAGAAAGGATGAATCCTCAGAACAACAAAACGACTACTAGGAAAGACTACAGAAAGAAGCCAAGGTGCGCCCCAGCCTCACTGGGGCTCAGGTGCCGGGGGATGGCACACAGAGGGAGCAGCTAGGGAGCAGGAGAGGCAAAAGGTACACATCTGGAGCCTGTTCTCGGGAGGCCAGCAGCAGGCGGCGCGTGGGGCCACGGAAGGGGCGTTCCGCTTGCAAGAGGTCCTGGCTGGGCGGAGGGCGACCCTAGCACCTCTTAGAGCCCACGATGCTGCAGCCCAGCCCAGAGCAGGGGCCGTAGGCGTCGGCGGTGCCCACCACCACGTTGTCGCTGCAGGGCGCGCTGCAGACGCTGGTGGTGACAGCAGGGGCAGTGCCGGAGGCGCAGAGATCGCCACAGACGACGCCACCGTGGCAGCTGCTGACGCCTGGATGGGGGGAGAACAGGCAGAGACGCGGGTCAGGCACTGCCACAGCCAGGCGGCTTGGGGCAGCGAAAATGCCCCCTCCCCGAAGGCACTGTGACCACCCAGCTGGAGAAGGGGGCGGGGCGGCTACTTACAGACATTCCCAGCCCCGACGCCCTCGCACAGCCTGCGGGGAAAGGAAAAGAGAAAGGTCAGTGCCCTGAAAAGCCGCTGGACCACACACAGCCAAGGTGAAAGGTGAGGTCCCCCACCTTCCTTCTGAGCACTTGCCCAGGGGAAGGGGCGATTTAGCGGTAGCCGGGTCACTGTACGGGTTCTGGAAACAGATCACCTGGTGTGCTGGCTCTCCACCCCTTATTAGCTGAGCAAACTCAGAAATGCCCTCCCTCAGCCTGACTCCTCCTGGGGAAAATCTACTCCCTGATCTGTTGTGAGAATGAACTCAGAATACGCCTACAAGTGCATAATGCCTGCCACAGAGTAAGCACTTCAAAAATGGTAGCTGCTCCTCTTTGTTTCGGTTCTTATGGACTTGTAAATGCAACTGAGGTGCAGCAAATTAAAATTCCTGAATCTGGTCTGATTGGCGTCACTAAAATGTGAGTCTCGGGAAGACAGAATTTTTTGTCTATTCTTTTCCCCATTGCAGACAGTGCCCCAAACGATGCCTGGCTCGATAAATAACTTGCATGAATGAATGGGATGTTAGAACCCATTGAGAGCAGGCTCAGAGACTAGCTACACCAATTCCCTCACTTAACAGGTGGAGAAACTGAGGCCCAGAGAGAGGAAATAACCAGTGCCGGAGGCAGGGATATCACTCCTGCCACCTAACTCCACCCAGCCTTCCCACACAATGCTCTCTCCTTAAGGAAAACACACGGAGTCCCTCTGAGGGACCGTGGCAAAGGGTTGTCGATATCAGCTTCAGAAATGTGGAGAATCCGCAGCCCACCATCTACCGTCCCATGCCCAGGTTTCCTAGGGAACCCACACCAAAGCTTCGGAGTTCATTCCAAGAGCGCTTTGTGGCAAAGGGGTGGACCTCTCTGTTTCCAGTGCTACTGTTTCCAGTGTCTCTCCAGCATTCAAACTCAGTCTTGAAAAATTCTCCCTCCTAGAATTCTGCCCCAATGAACCTACCCAGGCCCAGAGAGCCCCAGTGCCTCTGAAATCTCCAAGGCAATTACTTGAGTTTGTTGCGAGTCTCACATGTGATCGCTTTGATTCCAGCTACCAAACCTGTGTCCTCATTTCCCCAATACACAGGACGCTCCCTCTGCATCCTCACTCTACTCTGCCCAGGACCAAGGGCCTGGCTGGACGTGAGAAGAGGAAGGCTCAGGGTAAGAGCACCTGACTAACCTGGGGAAAGAACCAAAGGGCAACACCCCGGGACTCTTGTCCTCATAGGAGCTGTTCAGCCGCCCCCCTCCAGCTGAACACAGAAGGCTGAAGACCAGTGGGTCTCCCCACGCCCTCAGAACAAGCAACAAGCAAACATGCCCCGACCAGGGCAGCTGCTTCAGGAGACCAGTCCCTGCTGTCTGTCTATCCTTAGTCCCGCTTGCTGCAATGGACGACCACTTAGAGGTGCTCACTGTGGTTAAAATATATAAGTGTGTGTTCATAAAACCCCCTATTGAAGCTGTCATTTGGGGAGAAATCTGAACTCCCAGGGCTGGGGCCAGGACCAGGCTTGAAAAGAGAGCTGGAACCCTGAGGGGCATCTGCAACGAGGGCCTGGGACGGAAGAGGCACTATAGAGGGAAGGTGGCCCAGCCCAGACAGGGCTTCTCAGGAAAAGCAATGACTATGGCCTTGACTCCAGGCTCTGAGAAACAGATTTGCAAAAGGCACCAATCTCAGATCAGCACCTAAGTGGGCATGAGAGACTCAAATGGGGCAAGAAACATACCTAATGAATAACTCAAATTACCTTTCCAGTTGCAGGATGGGGAGTTTTGGAAACAGGAGTCAAGTAGGAATGTGAGGGACAGCACACTGAGAACCCAGGCAGGGCTGAGAGAGAAATTTGGCTACTGTACCCACCTGTGCTCCTCGCCCTCCAGCAGGCGCCTGTAGGTGGCGATCTCGATGTCCAGGCCCAGTTTGGAGTTCATCACCTCCTGGTACTCCTTGAGCAGGCAGGCCATGTCCCGCTTGGCCTTCTGCAGGGCCTCCTCCAGCCCGGCCAGCTTGCAGCGGGCATCATTAAGGGCCGCCTCGCCCTGCTGCTCCGCCTGGGTCACAGTGGCCTCCAACTTGGAGTTCTAAAGGCCCAGAAGAGAACAAGATGGGTTATGGTCCCTGGGTCTCTGTGTCCACTTCCTGGACGCATCCAGTCTCTCCTGGCCAGCTGGGATCACCCCAGGAACAGGTCTCTCCTCTTCATCACCTGGGTTTCCTTAAGTGACCACAACCTGGGACTCAGGTCATGCAGATGGGCTGGAGAATGAATGGTGAGATCCAGTTGGGTGCACACACTGCCTGTGGGACCCTGGGTGGGCCTCAAACGACCTCTACCTGGCACTTGGCATTCTCGACCTCGGCCGTCAGCCTCTGGATCACGCGGTTCAGCTCGTTGATCTCCTCCTTGGTGCGGCGCAGGGTCTCCCCATGCCGGAGCACCGTGGCCTTCATCTCCTCACACTGGAGGGAAGCAGAGAGGCTCATGAAACTCAGGATGGGACATCCCACCCACTCAGGACACCACAGATGATTGGCAAATTGTACAGTACTCAGCCTGTGCAACCATACGTGGCAGCCACGTCCTGCTACTATAACCTGAGAGGGGTCTGCACTTCTTTCACCACCTCTAGGAATCAGAGTCCCCAGACAAAAGAAGCCTTGTTAATATATACCACCCATCCCTCCCACCATGTCTAGGAGGCAGGTGCCCTGAGACACTCACGTTGCTGCGGTACCAGCTCTCAGCCTCGGCCCGACTGCGGCCGGCAATGTCGTCATAGTTCACCTTGATCTCGGCCACAATGCTGTCCATGTTCAGGTCTAGGCTGTTGTCCATCGTGACGATGACCGAGGTGTCTGAGATGTGAGTGTGGAGAACTCGGATCTCCTGCAGATGGTGGGGTGGGAGGACGCGTGTGGTTTACACCATCCCCTCCCCCACCACAGTGAGAGATCTAAGCTTCCAGTTTGTCGGTAGCCTTGGAAGATGTCAGAACACATCCATTTTGGTCTGTGCCATCCATCCAGTGTGGATAGGTTGGGCCTTGAACGGTAAAAGGCTGGGTAGGAACCAAGGCTCTGCCATGAATAGCTCTGTGTGATCTAGGGGCAAAGTAGTTCACTCCTCTGGGAAATGGATTAAGCCTCTTCTTCCTAGTGCTGCCATGGAGTATTACAGAAATGTGCACATGCTCAGTAGACCCAGAGCACAGAGCAGATGTGTTTACCGTAATCATTAAGAAGCAGCAGGCTCTGGGACTGCATTTCTTTTTTCAGAGTTCACACTGTGACCCACCAATAGGAACGACCAGAATTTTAATGAGACAGATTAGGACAAAATCAAGTAGAGTAGAATATAGTAGAAAATGTTACAGTGTAACTTCTGTAGTAAAATAACGTTTCAGGATCTTTTGTTTCAATAGCGTGTGATATGTATGTATGGGTGTACTTAGTCATTATGCAAAGTTATTTCTTAATGTAATTGAAACTAAAACGTTTAAGTACATGGTTTATCAGTTAAGAACACAGACCCAGATTCCAAACTGCCTAGTTTCAAAGTCCTGCTCTGCCACTTTCTAGCTGTGTAACCTCAGGCAATTACTTAACCTCTCTGTATCTCATTTCATGATATGTAAAATGGGGATCATAGTACCCACCTCATAAAGTTCTTATGAGGATTAAAAGAATTCATCGGTGTCAAGCACTTAGAACAGAGCCTGACACACTCTAAGTATGTAATCATATTAGTGGTCGGTATCGGTGCTGCTGCTGTAGTTGTAGTGGCAGGTTGGACGCGGAGACAGAGATACGTGTTATTGTTGCTGCTGCTGTGGATGTATCAGCAGGTGTGATGGAATATACCTACCCACATTCCTAAACCACCTATGTAAGATTCCCACTAATGGTGCCTATCTGAAAGGACTAATAGAAGGATTAAATTTAAAAATACATGGACAATGCTTAACTCAACACCTGGCACATAGCAAGTGCTCAATAAATGTTATCAACTATTATTCTACCATGGAGGTCAGTCCAAGGGGCAGGGAGGACTGGACACCTTTGACCATCGTCACTTCCTTTATCCTGGAAAAGAACCCCAAATCAAACATCCATCCTCAAACCCAACTGCCCCAGGGATGGCCCAATGAGAATCTCTCCTCTTAGGCAAAGGGAAAATGTCACCAATCCTTGGGCAACCACACTACTGAATGAAAAGAAAAGCTTGGACAGTCCAAAAAGTCTGTTCTCTGTAGTAACTGAGAAATGTGTGTGTCTTATTTGGCCTTATTGGAAGTCCTCAGCCATAAATCAATGACATGCTCATTCATCTTGCTTTTTTGCCTGATTCTGAAAACTCCTGATTGGTCAGTAGCCCAGGGATACCATGGGGTTGAGAGTGGGGGATTTGCCATTGATAATCCATCGGAGTATAATGGAATTCCAAAGAGAGCAAGAGAAGTCAGGCTTTCGCTGCGACTGGAAAGACAGAAGTTGGATTTGAGGAAAGACTTGCCAGAGGGGGTCAAGTAGTCGTGGTTTCCTAAGGAGCTTGCATTGTGTCTCCCATTTAGGGAAGCTTTATGTAAAAGAGAAACACTGTTTATTCTGGAGTGGCTATCATGTTTGTGGAGACAGGGCGAACCAAAAGACCTTCATATCTGGAGATCACAGCCTCTTCTTTTAGCCCAAGTAGATCTTGTTTCAAGGGTTGCCTGGAAAGAAGGGGTAAATCAGGTGGTTTTAACATTGAGAAGTTCTTGTTCAAGACTCCCTTCAGTCCATCCTGCTCCTCTGGAGGACGTTGTAAGGCAGAGTTCCCAAAATGGATGATGGCTTAAACAAGGTAACATCTTGTTGCGGGATTTGGGGATTCTGCGATGGATGTGTCCCTGCAATATGCTGAACCCTGTCTTAATTTTGGAGGGAGGCAGGAAAACACTAAGAGGAAAGAGACATGGATTCTGGAGCTCCTGATTTGATGAGCAAGACAGACCCAGAAGTTCCTGAGAAAGTCCAGAAGTCTGAAGAGGGCTGGGTTTTAGCTACATCATCAGATGCTCAGGAGCACAAGGCCTACTGAGAGTGCCCATTCTGAGGCAATGTGAAATACAGCTGGTCTGATGAGAAAGGCAAGAAAGGCTCCCTGGAAAGGGTGAGGACAGGCTTCAGTAAGGCAGCAGGAGGGACAGTGTTGGTAACAAGATGTACATGGAGCTATTTCAGAGAGTGGACGGTAGGGGCAGCTGAGGGACCTTGCAGAAGAGGAAGGGATCATGAGATGCTGTGACAGTAGAGAGCCAGTTGAGACAGAGACCTCAGAAGCGGGGCCCATGTCATTCTTCTGCCCCATGGCTAGAGGCTGGGAAGCAGCCTGTGGACTCTACATCTGGAAGATACCAAAACTGCACCCTAGGCTCGCAGTATCCAAGAGGTCGTGCCAGAGCTCTGCCTTCTCACCAAGACAGCCCGAGACAGTGGCCAATTATCCATGAGAACTCACCGGAGGAGGAAGGGCCAAAGGCCATCTGGAGAGTCTGGCAGAGGATGAAGCCTGACTCAGGAGCTCCACCCTTGGCAAGGTCCATTCCCACTAACCAGGCTGAGCCCCTGCACCTCCCCCAGCCCACGTCTCTGCCCCATGAAGGTTTATTTCTTTAGAGCTGGAGACGAGGTTGCCCACGCCTTCAGGTAGGTCTACACCTTGTCCTCAGTGCCGTGCCCCTTCCCCCATCAACCTCATCCTCCTCTGCTCTTCCACCCCTGGAGTGTCTCCCCACCATTCTCCCATGGGTCTTCTCCCTCTTTTCCTCCACTGTCCTCCACTTCCCTCCCCTCCTCTCTGTCTCCCCCAATCTCCCCTCCCTCCCATTCTCCTCAACCCCCAGCCAGTCTCCATCCTTCTTCCAAGGGACCCTGGAGAGTAATAGTCTAACACCAAGCATTTTCTTCCTCCTTTTATCTAGAAATCTACCTTCCATCCACTTCTCTCTTTCTTTCCCCAACCCTACCCCACCTCTACTCTGACCCATGGCGTTCAGAATTCTTGCCCTTGTTGGTCGCTTTTCCCTACCACCCCATCATCACTCAGGTCAAGGACTCAGGTAAAGAACACATCTATTCACTGCGTCTTTCCTTCAGACCCCAGCCAGGATCTCTCCCCACCCCATCCCTAGCCCCAGGAATGGCTGCCCTCGGGTCTGCTTCATCTGGTCCCCACCCCATCTTACCAAAAAGCTTTGCATAATTAACCATCAAGCTTTGATGGCTCCATTACTCAGCACTTAATAGGCAGCTGGTATTCATATCATTCACTCAAGAAATATTTATTGAGCACCTACTGTGTGCCAAGCCCTTGGAATATAGCCATGAACGAAACATTTGTACCCATTGGTGTGCGGCAGGGTTTGCATTTTTGTTCATGATCTAGGTATATGTTCAGCTTTTCTCTTAGAACTGGAAGCTCACATCAAATAAGGGTGAGTTCATCCTCTGGCCCTGAACCCTGAGAGCACACTGAAGGACCCTGAAGAGGTACTGGAGGGAGGGATTAGCGAGTGTGTATGATTGTGTCCTATACAAACACCATCTACCATGTGATACTTTAGTGATGACAGATGGTGGATGGATAGGAGTGCAGTGAGATAAACTCATCCCTTCCACTGGGATCAAACACACCAAGCTCTGAGTGCCAGCTCTGCCTCTAACTACACAACCTGAGCAATCTCTTAACCCTCTAGGCCTCAGGGTCCTCATCTGTAAAACTAGAATAATAACACCTGCCTCAGAGGGTAATTGTAAAAATTAAACACATTAATGAAAGTTGGGCAATCCGTATAGTATCTACTATGAAGTAAGATGAACATCAAAAGATGTTGTTATTAAGTTTGGAAGAATATTCATAAAATAGTTTTCTACACTAAGCATATGCTACCTGAATAATTTTTTTTTTTAAATAACCCCATACCCTAGAAAATCTCTTGCACAAATACACCAGAAGACATGGAAAAGAAAGTTCATGGCAGCTCTGTTCATAATACAAACTCTGGGGGCAACCATGAGGCTACCAGGGTGGAAAGATGAATAAACTGTGACATATTCATACAAAGAATACAGTCCACAGTGAAAATGAACACAATATAGGAAGCAACATTGAACAATGGAATACACACATTATGATTCCATTTATATGAAGTTCAAAAACTGGAAAACTAAATCATATATGGTCTAGGGATGCATTCCTTGGTCCTTAAACTGTAAAGAAAAGCAAGGGAATGATTCAACACAAAATCCTAGAGAGGAGCCATCCCTGGATCAGGAAGGAAGGGGGTACAGTGAGAATGAGGCTCAGAGGAAGCCCCTAAGTTACACATATGTTCTATTTCTTCCTACAGGTGGTAGGCACACCACCTATACTTTCTTTTTGGGGGTGGGATATTTCACCATAAAAGCAATTTTAACTTCCATAAAGCTCCCATTGGCAGAGCCAAGACCACGGAGTGGTCATTCTGCCAACTCTTCCCCCCTCCCCTCTTCTCTTCCCCCACCACAAGCTTTTTTACGCTAAGAAAACCTACAGATTGAATGTCTTTTTAGGTCTTCAAAATTAGCAGCCATTAATAATACCTGACGTTAAATGAAATGTTACATCTGAATTTTTTTTAATATCTTGTTTTAAATTGCTTGCTGCTCCTTTCAAATTGCTTAGCAAAGACCAGCCATTAGTAATTAGCTCATGTTTACGTGTGGCATTTTTATAGGGAGTTACACTGGTAGAAAAGGCAAAGCGTGTGTGAGCTGCACCCTGACTCACAGCGCTTCTCCTCAGGACACCCGGCCAGCTAGCTGGCTGGGAGCACCACGGCTGCCTTGTGGGCAGTGCCCAGAGTGGCGGATGAGGGCATAAAGGGCCTCAGAAGAGCTGGCCCAGCTCCCCAAGCACATAAAGTATCAGGAGTGACGCCCTCCTCTGGGATGGCAAGATGGCTGGTACAGTCCGTGCCCCCATGTCAGTCCTGTCACAAGCCCCACTCCTGAATGTTTTGCACAGACACACTATTCTCTTTG